GGGGCTGTGGGGGGGGGTTTGCAGGGCTGGCGGGGGAACCGGCCAGCGGAAGCAGGTCTGGCAGGGGCAGCAGGGCTTGCCAGGAGAGATCGGGAGAGAATCGGCTGGCAGGGACAGCAGGGCTGGCCCAGGGCTGGGCGAGGGAAGGTGGGGGAGAAGGGGAGAGAGAATCGGTCAGCGGGGAGCAGGACAGTTCAGGGTGCACGCAGATCCTGACTAAAAATTTACAAGCAGTGCCTTTTAAATATCCCCACTGCTGACAGTGAGGTTTAAAGGCATTACAATGTGTCAGAATGGAGAGAACCTGGTGCATTCACCATCCAGAATGAGAATATGAATAAAAAATGCCAAAGATGGTGTCAGCTTTCTGAATGTAAATGAGCCCCTTTTCAATACACGATGTGATGGTGCAGGTTTTTATCGGATTACAGTCCATTTTTCCAATCCATATTCCCTTGCTGGTAAGAATGTTGTGGGTGGCTGTATCAAAAGCTTTGCTAAAGGTGGCCCTGGGGGCTTTGGGAGGACCAAAACCAACATATTTGCATATTCGTCATTTGCTTAATGAATATGCAAATATGCAAATGAATGTTACTGGTCCTCCGAAAGCTTGTGAGTGGATTTACTGGTCCCTGTGTCAAAAAATTTGGGAACCCCTGGCATAGATACTATTCAGATATCACAATGCAATGTTTATATGTCTCTTCTAAGTTTGAGGTAAGCAATGTGTGAGTTGCTTAATGGATAAATTGCCCTATGCTAATTACCAGGATGTTTGGAAAATAGATGGTTACATCAAAGTCAATTGTTCACTCAGGACTGAATGGCCAAAAGGCTCCTGGGACCTGATCCTTTTTGATTTCAGATCTGTTTGATGTTTTATCAGGGAAAGTTTGGACCTGAGGATTGGGATCTTCAAGCCTGCTTGGATACATCTGGAAATAATGGATTAATAACTCTGATTTGATTCTGTGAGTAGAGCCATCCTGGGGCACCACTAGGCCCCATCTCACCTCGCTTCTGCCTGCTCCTCTTTTGCCCTGCTCCTACTGCACCACTTTCCATGGCCCACCCCTGCACCATTTCCCCATCAGGTCGCTCTGCTTCACCATAGCAGGGGGAAGCAGAGTGCCCCAAGCTCCAGCCTACTGCTTTCTGCTCCCCCGAGTCCATGTAACCCATGTTGGCGGGAGAGCAAGCTGGAGCCAGGCTGGGATGAAGCAGAGCAACCCGCCTGGGAATGGGCAGCAGAACGGTGCAGTCTGCTGCGTGCGTCACTCCATGGGTACCACCATGATGAGTGTGGGGGGCCTGACCCCTAATGCTGCTCCACACCAGCCCCTCTCATATGATCCTCCAGGGCCCCATGGGTTCCCAGTGATATAAGTGACTATCCTGTCTTTTGATCTTTTAATCAGTATGGCGCACAGCCCTCTCTGCACCTTTCTGAGAAGAGGCAGCGCCAGCAGGCTGGCAGAGGTCGCTGGGGTGGAATAGAGGTGTCTGCTGGGTCACTCCAGCTCCCACGGCTGCAGCCATAGCAGGAGGGGGGGGCAACCCCTCTGCCATCCCATACCAGACCCTCTGGTAATTCCCCAGCTCACCTTGCTTGGGGAAGGAGACTTCAGGAAGGGAATGGAGGTGGAGCAGGGGCAGAGCTTGGAGGACCTGGTGCCAGCTGAGCTAAAAATCAGCTGATCCCTAGTTCCCTGCAGAGCACTGGTGGGACAAGTTCTTAGAGGGGTCACATGACCCATTTCTGGACTGGTCACCCCGCCTGGAACTCACCTGATTGGTCACATCTGCTCTTGTGGTGAATCTATGGGGTCCAAACCCATCCCTATTGGTAGAGGATGGTGGGGGGAATTCTTAGAGGGATCACATGACACTTTTTACTTCCGGTCATGTGCCCATCTTGACCCTAGAAGGTATTACCCCATGGGCCAGATTTCCAGTGACAGGTGGGTGTGGCTAAAGGGGGTTGGGGACGTGGCTAATGTGTCCCTATTTTTGGTTATTTCTGGACTGGTCACCCCGCCTGGAACTCACCTGATTGGTCACATCTGCTCTTGTGGTGAATCTATGGGGTCCAAACCCATCCCTATTGGTAGAGGATGGTGGGGGGAATTCTTAGAGGGATCACATGACACTTTTTACTTCCGGTCATGTGCCCATCTTGACCCTAGAAGGTATTACCCCATGGGCCAGATTTCCAGTGACAGGTGGGTGTGGCTAAAGGGGGTTGGGGACGTGGCTAATGTGTCCCTATTTTTGGTTCAGAAAATATGGTCACTGCATCCCTCTGCATGCAGCCTCTGAGGTTGTAATAATGGAGTAAGGCTATCCTAATACACCTGGATGCACTGTATTTTTGTCCTCAGCTGTCAGAGTAGGATATGATAGCCTGCATTCCCAGATGTTGTCACTGTGGGTTATCAGGCCCTAATGTCCTGATTATTGCTTCCAGCTCTTGTTCCCAAACCTCACTACCACTTTGACCTGCTTCCTGTTGCAGATAAATACGCAGTGATGAGAGGGCAACACCTCAAATGTGCCAGAAATGTCAGGCAGAGTGAAGGGCTTCAGAACCTGCCATTTCTTTCTTTCTTTCCACCCCAGGCTTCCTGTGTTCCATAAGGCCAGAACGTTCCTCAGTGTGCACCAGTCAACATCTATCCAGTTTCACTCTGGAAGATAGGAGTTTATTTCCTTCATGGTCAGGAACTCGTAATTTCTAAGGTGGAGAGGTTTTTACCTGTGAATGAGCTTGAACTAAAGGACATGTCATTTATCCAAGGCTATAGCAGGCTCATCTAGCAGGCCTAGTCACCACTAGAAGTGAGTCCCTGAACTTCAGACTTTCCCAGCTGAATTGCTTGAATTCCCCGTACAGTAGGTAACACTGTAACACCAACCCCTTACAGGAGCATCAGCAGTAGGGATCAGACCTGGTACCTCCTCTCTTTATAGCTTTGGATAAGTAGCCTGTTCCAAGCAACCATATCTCAACTCCCTCCTTCACCCATGGAAAAAAAATATGGAGGCCATCAAGCCAAACCGAACAAAGAAAAATAAATATTGTCTGACACCCTATTGCTCCCACATGCCTTCACAAGCAATGCTAACAAGGGTGGCCAAACTGCAGCTTATGAGGTGCACATGGTTCTTTTACAATTAAAGTGCAGCTCACAGAGCCCCACCACCACTACCACCATTCTCTACCTACCTTCCTATGCGGGTGGGAGAGCTTGAGGCTTTTGCCCTGTAGTTGTCTAGGGCTTTCAGGATCAGCCTCATAGAGTACCCCTGCTGGGGCTCAGGGGTTGAAGCTTTTCTCCATAGGGATAAGGCCCCAAGGCTCAGCAGGTTGCTCCTGTGGGGATGAAGTCCTGAGACCCTCCTCCACTGAGGGCAGAAGCTCCTAGTATCACCACACCACAACACGGCTGAAGCCCCAAGTTCTAGCTGGCATGCTTTGCTCTCAAACTTTTTGAAGATTGTCATGTGCAGCTCGGAAGGGCAGTGAAGTAAGTTGGCAACTCCTGAATGCTAACATTTGAAGGATGGTCCTTCTCAATTTCTTATTTTAAAATATTTTTTTTAATTACCTGACCTCTCCCTGATGAAGAGGAATTATGACAAGTGCTTTCTTGGTGCTTTAATATTCAGTGCCAAAGGAACTTACAATAGCTCAGCCTTCTGGAAATGGAACTCGGAAACATCCAAGTCAAAAAATAGATCTCTGCCTTGAAATATGACAGCCCATTCCCTTGGAGCTGCGGCAGCTTCATAGATAGAAGTATCACATTCCTCACACAAGGACATCTGTGAAGTTACCACCTGGTCATTTATTCATGCCACCTTCAGATTCTACAAGCTGGGTATCCAGTCCTCATCTGATGAAGCCTTCAGCAGGTGGGTGTTCCTCCTCTTTTAGTATCCCAGTAGCTATTGTGAAAGGATTATCTGTTCTTTTGCAGCTGTACATAACTGTGTATACAACACACACTCTTTTATCCCAACAATCTGGGTGACATTTGAAACTTTCAGATGATTGGGCATTTTGATAACTAGTAATGTTATTTTGAACTGCACTTTCACATGGAGGACTTTCACTGTGGATCTGGATTGCTAGGAATTTGGATAAAGCAAAATCCAGTACCAGTTCCTATCACCACAAGTGGACACTGCTATGAAAATCCCAATATCATGAACCTGTGGAACTCATTATGAATAAAAATAGAAAAAAAATTATATGTGCCTTATCTGAAAATGTCCTTTCTTGAGTAACGAGGTATGTGGGTCCCACTCATACTGGAATGGTTGTCATTGGGAAAGATATGGTGTATTATTTGGTACTCACTTTGTTACTATTTGGATCCCTTGCTCTGCTCTAGGATTGCTTTATTTAGTCTTGAGTTAATTTTACTTGCCAGTATAGAATGGTTCATTTTCCTAGGTATGGAAATGTCTCAATTGGCAGTTTTTTGGGGTATGGAGCCAGACCTTCCTGCCTCTGACTGATGGATATTGTCTGCTTCCTAGGCTCCATAGAGAAATGAGACTGTCATTGAACCATGGACCTCATTACTCGCAGAAAGGAAATTTTAGGGGGAGGCATGGATACATTCCCTTGTTCCCTTTCTGTTAAAGAAAAAAGCCTCCAGTGTGCAAATAGTAAGCTTCTCATTTAGATGGTGCTCTGTAATACTGCACACAATATATTTAACTAGGAGCTGGTGGCATGGCAGGCTACTATGTCTGACTTTCTCTATATTGCTTTAAAGTTGGGGAAAGGAATACACTCCCCCTTTTCAACTATTACTTAAAATCGCAATGGATTTCTCATTTCCATTGACTTCAATGAGCTTATGACAATTTGTATCAGCTAAGGATTCCCCTCCCCGCCCCCTCCAGGGTCAATGTCTTAGTGCAGGGATGGGGAAACTTTTTTGTGTCGGGGGCCACTGACCCACAGGAAAATCAGTCAGGGGCCACATACAAGTGAGTCGCGGGGGGACTGGAGCACCAGCGCAGGTTCCCTAATGCTGGAGGGGGGGACCCCGAGCCTTGGGGGCTGGAATCAGGCAAGCCGGGGGCTGCCTCCAGCCCCGTGTGCCTTCGGTTCCCCACCTCATTCTTAGTGCCACAGAATGTAGCATGCTGTGTGCTCAAAAGTTAAACTGAGCCTGCTTTCTAATATATACACTGTCTGGGTCTGGAGAGGGTAATCAGAAGGGTGTGCATTTTTTAGAAGTAAACTCACAAAGAGAGGCTCATCATTTGAATTCCTTTAACTATAACCATTAATTATACCCGACTATCTACATAGTCTGAAGAAGTGGGCTGTGCCCATGAAAGCTCGTGATACCATCTACATCTTTTGTTAGTCTTTAAAGTGCTACCAGACTATTTGTTGTTTTTTAAGTTTTTCCTGTTACAGACTAATTCGGCTGCCCCTCTGAAACTTTATCTATTTTGCAAGAATTCAACATCTATTATTATACAGTTTGGGGTTCACTTTCATTGGCAGATGGGCAGATCCTTAGTTTCTGTAAAATGATTTAATTCCGTTCAAGTCAAAGTGCTTTATTTCTGTAGGTTCTTGGTGTCCACACATGGACTTGATCAGTAATAGCTATTGAGCTTTAAATTCACACCCTACATTAATTCAAAACAACTTTCAAGTGCAGACAGGCTGCCCAAAGTAGTTTTCTAGCTCACTTGACATCAAAGCCAACACGCTTTTCCCTTAACTGAGAACATTCATTCTGATAACTTAATGCAGGCAATATCCAATACTGTCAGTGAACATCTGTGTGTGTCTGATCTTGTCTCTTGTGGTATGTGTCCATCTTAAAACACACCACATACACATGCCTGCTTTCATGTGCATTCTGGCTCCATTAACTTCAATCTTTGGAGTGCTGATGCGAAGAACATAGCACCGTTATGCAGATACATTGCGGTCTCTTATCCCTTTGTCCAAATTCATACTTGTCAGCATTTGAAAGCTGAAAAACAGACATATTTACGGCATTAGAATACTTTTGAGGAAGAAGTGAAGGTAAGTGTGACGGGGCGCTACAGCCCTGCACTTTAAAACCCCCCACGCCGGCACTGTACGGAGAATGGTGAACTGGAGCACGCATGTGCGCGGCGTGCTCGGATGCCACCAAACAGTTCGGGGGGGAGGACGTCACGTGACATGACGTCCCGGGCATGGTAAATTCACTGGCGGGAGTCCGGGGGCAGAGGGGGGAGGCATGTAGGGAGACGTGGTGAGCGGGATGAGACGTGACGTAAGGAGGCAGGGTTTGGAATGGAGCCTTTGGACAGAGGCACCAGGAAGGAGAGGCAAGACGCCTAGCCCAAGCGCAGGTGCTTTAAAAGGGAGGTGAACAACTGTTGCAGGCAAACCTTAGGTAAGGAGGAGAGGAAGCAGCCCAGGGCAGGGCAGTTGGAAAGCCCGTGGGCTGGTATGTTTCGGCGGGAAGCCCCACCAGCCGGACCAGACCTAGATAGGTCTGTGTCCTTAGGGCCCTGGGCTGGACCGTCCTTCTCTCCATCGCCACAAACGGCATTGTCAGTTGACTCCTCAAACGGAGTAGGCTGATCCCAGGGGAAGACTGAGGTCAACCACGGAAACTGTAAAGACACTTGCACCGGTGAAAACACAGGACTGTGGGGGAGGGAGGAAAGGGGCAACTGGGGCCACAGGGTGGCGAGAAGAGTAAGGTTAGCTTCAGCAGGTAGCTGAGTTAGTCTGTACAGGATAAACTTTACAGAAGGTAAGGTTGTCTGCTACACTTCCAGAGGGAAGGGGCTAAGACTTGAAGTCACCTTTGTGCTTTCCAGTTCAGAGCTATTCCGATTAAAGCATCCGCTGGTGTCCTGCAGGGACGTCTCACAGTCTCCACAGAACTACATTTCACTCCCCACTCTAGTATACTCCATCTGCAAGAGCTGGGAACAATCCTTGGAAAATAGTGTCTGGCTGCATTCATTACTTCCTCTGCTAAGGAGTTCTCTCCTGAGCCATGGTAGCTGAATGCCTTGACTTTTTGAACCCTGGCTTTTTCGATCTTGCTGTTGTTGCTGAGAAGTACAAATTAATGTAATATTGTATGTAACAAATAAGAGAACATGGTACCTGTCTTGAAGAGTTCACAGTCTAAGGGCTGATTATGTAGTATCCAGCCTAAGCCATGGAATCATGATCTGGCTCTAAATCTCTGCCTTTCATTCAGTGCTTTACTCAGGCTACTGGAATTTGTCTCTAGCTGGCTTTTGGTAAAGATGTACATGTCTGAACTCCCCCTTCTGGGGAAGGACATTAACTCAGACAGTACTTTGCGACTCTCTGATGTGGTCTCTGTCTGGTTCACAAGCTCACAGGCTGCCGTTCATATGAATGCCTCTCTGTCACTGATGCTTTTCTGCATGGTGTGCATGCCTGATTTATGTTCTGAATGGTCACCTCCCCCCTGTGGTGGTGTGTAGTTCCTTCTACTGCAATGTATGCACTAAGTCATAGTCTTCTAATAAAAAAGCTATTTGACCTTACAAGTTTTTTAGGACCTTCTAATGTGCTGTCAACTGAATAAGCTGTTATATTCTATTGAGCTATCCCTCCCCCCTCTATTGCTAAATGACTTCTGATATGTGGAAGAACCTGCTTATAAAACTAGGCACATATCTGATATGTTCCCTTTTCTACCTGCTGGCAGAGAGCATAAACCTAACAAGCCTGTACCTGTACTATAGAACTCTCAAGGATGTTTGACTTATTTTTCAGGGCAGTCTCTACCTGACCTCCATGACTGTGTGTGCAATTTTGTACATATGAATTTTGGTATGCTAATTTCTGTGCACACAGTTGAAAGACTACAATGCCTGAGCATATTTGATAAACTGTACAAATGGGTTTTGTGCATGCAAATTATTTCATCTACATGTGCATATGTATGCTCAAAACAAAAGTGTTACATCTTACTCCTAGAACACTGAAGCTATATAGAGTACAATCCGTGTAACTTCTCATGGAAACCAACCAGTTTTACAACCTTAATTACAACTGAGTAAGTGCTATTATACTATTTCATTACATCTAAAATGATTGCATCATCAATGCAAAAATAAGACACTTTCTCCTTAAAAAATCTATATGCTGCAGGCCAAAAGAAGAAAAAACAGCTTGTTATGAAAATGATTAACTGAAAGAAAACAGACTGTAGTACCTTTAGTTTAAAACACCCCCTATTAAGAAATCTCTGTGTTGAGAGAACTGAAGTAACTGCAGGGGGAGCCAGTAGTCAATTCTTTCAAAGGGAAGTGGAAAAGTTGCAATTTCTCAGCCATTATGAAAAAATGCTATGTGGGGATGTGTGATCATAGCAAATGTTTGCATAGTTATTCAGACATAACACTGACGTTTGTTTCTTTTTCCCATTGTTTCTTTGTGCTCCCACATTGCACTGTCAGTATCCCTCTGATGTCTCTTGCACTTTTACTGGAGTTGTAAACTTTTTAGGGCAGGAGCCATCTTTTCCTTTCTCCAGTTTTGTATCATCCAGTTCCTTTCAATGTAAGGTACTTTCTCCATAAGTGAATTCCCTAGATAACATGTTTTATCATCTAGACCAGGCATGTCCAAAGTCCGGCCCGCGGGCCAATTGCGGCCCGTGTTCCGGTTTAATACGGCCCCACAGGTAATTTGGCAATATCTATCTTTTATGGCCCCCAACGAATCCATATGTATTGAGATGAATACATTGTAAAATCTCAGTTAATGTCAATTGGTCTAAATCAGTTATAAATATATTTGGACACAACATGTATACTTGGTGTTATGTTCCTGTTCATATTTTTTGAACTTAAAAGTTGACAGACAACCTTTATTACCAATAATATGTAATGTACTTTACAATGTTCCTGACATATATTTCAGCTTCCTGGATTTTTTTTTCATCTGGCCTTCAGATATGAAAGGCAGAGTGATTTAACACCTGTTTAGATTTGTCATCCATGTGACGAAATGAAAAGTATGCCGTTTGCAATAAACTTTGCATAAAATAGTTAATTTGCATTTAATTTTAATGGTTCAAAGAATGTCAGGCAAAATGGTCGGCCCTCACGCATATTCACTTCATCAAATCTGGCCCTCTTTGAAAAAAGTTTGGACACCCCTGGCCTAGACACCTACGCACCAGTTCAACTGTCTCAAATATCAGAATAAGAAAAGCAGTTCAATGTGTATGCATG